TATGTTATGTCAGATTATATTTCTCTGAGGGACAAATAAGACAAAGGGTTTTAGTAGAGGTGCTGATAGTATTCTTACATGCCAAGGTCGAGTTTGTGTCCCTAGAGATGCTGAATTAAAGAGAGCAATTCTAGAAGGACACAAGGGTAGTCTTAACATTCATCCTGGTGTTACTAAGATGCATCAAGATTTAAAGCAGATGTTTTGGTGGCCAGACATGAAGCAAGAGATAGCTGACTTTGTTAAAGCTTGTTTGACTTGTCAAAAGGCAAAGGCAGAGCACTGGAGTCTTCCAAGAGAGTTGCAGACTATGGAAATTCTGGAATGGGAGTGGGACCATGTGACTATGGATTTTGTGTCCCATCTACCTAGAACAATTAAGAATCATGATGCTGTGTGGGTCATAGTTGATAGGCTACCAAAAGTGCGCATTTCTTGCTGATCAACATAACCTATAGCTTGGAAAAGTTAGCAGAATTGTACATTAGAGAGATTGTCAGGTTGCATGGAATACCTTCTAGTATTATCTCTAATAGGGATCCTTGATTCACTTCTCAATTTTGGCAGAGTTTCTAGGAAGCTATGGGCACACAGTTGAGGTTTAGTTCTGCATATCATCCATAGACAGATGGTCAATCTAAGCATACTATTCAGACCTTAGAAGACTTGTTGTGGACTTGTATTGTGGAGTAGAGGGGTAATTGGGAGGATATACTTCCTTTGGTAGAATTCGCTTATAATAATAGCTACCATTCAAGTATAGACATGACACCATTTGAGGCTCTATATGGCAGAAGGTGTAGAAGCCCTATCTGTTGGTTCCAAGATGGAGTATATTTGATGGTTGGGCTTGAAATGCTACAGGAGAAAGTTGAAATTATCAGAGAAAAGCTAAGAGCTACTTAGAGTTGACAGAAATCTTATGCTGATCGACGTAGAAGACCCTTAGAATTTGAGGTTAGTGATCATGTATTCCTGAGAGTGTCACGCACTCAGGTGTGGGGCGAGCATTAAAGGCAAAGAAGTTAACGCCTAAGTTCATTGGACCATATCAAATATTACATCGCAGAGGATCCATAGCCTATGAATTAGCGTTACCACCTCAGTTATCAAGATTGCATAATGTTTTTCATGTGTTGCAGCTGGGGAAATATGTTCCTAATCTGTCTCATGTAGTCAAGCCTGATGTTGTGAAGATATGAGATGATTTGTCAGTGGAGATCCCAGGTGCAAGTATCAAAGACACTAAAGTTAAGGAGGTTATAGGCAAGTCTATTCGATTAGTAAAGGTTGTTTGGGACCCAGTCACTAGTGATGCCACATGGGAATTAGAGGAAAGAATGAGAGTTGTACCCTTATCTTTTCTCTGAGGGATGAAATTTTTTAGGATGGAAATTTATTTTTAGGGAGAATTGTCAGGTCTATAATTTATTATTGAGTAATCTATAATATTTTGTACTTGTTAAATGTTAATAAAAGGATTATTTGGTATTGAAATAGATTTAGATGAAGTTTGAAACTAATTTTAAAAAAAAAGTAAACAGTGTTGGTGAACAGTTCAAAATGCATGAATAGTGGTAGTGTGACTAGTAATTCTGGCATGAACAGTAAGGCAGTGTAAACAATGACTCCGGTGTGAACAATGCCAAAAAAAATTTCTAAAAATAGGGGGTTTTGCATAAAATTTTCACTTCTTCACACTTTTCAAAGGTTCCAAGGTCATATACCACCATTTTCTCTCATACTAAACTCTTATAAAATTAGATTTCTCTCCAGATCTGTGATTCTACATCCGTTCTAAAGTAAGTTTCTCTAAGTTTGAAGTTAGTTTCATTGTTCGTTTCTCCTTTCCTTATCTTTCTCATAGAAGTTTATGGTGTTCTTAGGAAAGACTTCGTTCTAAAGTCAAATCTTAGGTGAATCTTGCATTAAAATTAGTAATATTCGGTAGATCTGGTGTGAATCACCATTTTAAGGTAAGGGGAGCTTACTTTAGCTTATGAACTATATTTTGAACAGTTTGATATGCTATTGAAAGGTTTGAGTTGGTTTTGTTGGATCTCTTTGATAAAATCTGAGATATAAAGGATTTGATAAATGCTTTCTATACTTGGTCCTACATTGTAATTCATGAATGATAATTGAGACTTTTGAACTATTCATTGAGAGAATTTACTATTATTAAGTTCATTTTATTCATATTTCGAGAAAAAGGATCAAGAAGTGAAAGCTTACAAGATGTTAGGAATTGAAGAAAGAAAGGAAGCAGAGATATACACGGGCAGGTACACGCTCGTGTATATGAGCGTGTATCTCATTGGATGCATAAATCAAGCATACATTCAAGCCAGAGATATACACGGGGCAAGTACATGCCCGTGTAAACGTGTATATCACTGGTCGCGTCAATTGAAAGGCATCACCTAAACCAGAGATGTACACGGTCAAAGTACATGACCGTGTATATGAGCGTATACTTCCTAGAAGAGTTGTGAAGGCCAATTAATAGAGACCAGAGATGTACACGGTCAAAGTACATGACCGTGTACATGGGCGTGTACTTTTCAGAAAAGCTTTGAAGGGCGATTGTTGGAAATCAGAGATGTACACGGCCAAAGTACAGGGCGATGTACTTGAGTGTGTACTTTTGATGTGCGTCAGAATTCAAATTATGTGAGAAGATAAACCCTTGGACGACTGATATAAAAGGGAACTTGACACAGAAACCTGAGGGAGGCAGTTCTGGGGAAAGATGAAGTCGGTGACAGCTGGAGAATGGAATCAAGTTCTTTAATTCATCTCTTTTGTAATTTTAGTTTCAAGATGTTTAGGTTCTAATTTTCCTTTGAGTATCTAGACATAATGAATCTTATGTGACCAAACCTTCTGGAATTCTTCTTAATGCTATTTCATGTTTTCTTCTTTTGGGTTTAATTGAGTAGTATCAATTGTTTTCCATCTTGCTTTCTTGTTTGAATTTGAGTAAAATTCCTACATGAAATTAACATTGCTCAATTAAAAGGACTTGAAAGTATTTCTAGAGATAGAAAGACGTAAGTTTTCTGTATTAGGAATAACCCTAATTATGAAATTCATAATGAACTTAATGCAACCTAGGGGTATTAATTAAGGAAGAGATTCTGATTGATAAACCGAGGGTTATGAATCATTATCCTTGAGAGAGGTATTGGTTTAATTCAGAATTTCCTACAACGATAAGGGTTTAGAACTAAGTAGTTGAAGAAGAAGTTCAGTTATTTGGACACTTAGGAGGATTTACAGTCTAGATACTCGCCTATTTCCCTTGAATTCCTTTAGTCATACTTTTCTATATTTTATTATCATAAGAAATTTGTTCCTTTTAATTTATTATTCTTCTATTTTTAGCAATTTTATCAACAAAATTTAACTCTCAAATTCATTAACAATTGCGCAGTTAAGAAAGTAATTCTTAATAACAGTCCCTGTGGATATGACACTTAGTACTCTATTTTTCATAATATTACTCTGACAACGGGTATACTTGCCCAGTAATCGATTTTTATACACCAAGGTTTTGGCGCCGTTGCCGGGGACTTATTAATTAGGATTCCCTTGATTACGTATGTACTAATTTTCTTTATTTCTTTAGTCTTGAATTAAATTTTCTATTTTGCTTTCATTCTTTTTAGGACCTGATTTTTCTGGTGTATGACCAGAACCCATTCTGCTGCACTGTTTGAAGAACTATTTGAATTTGACCCAGAGATTGAAAGAACTTTGCGAAAAATTCGAAAAGAGAGGCAACTGCTAGTACAAAGGGAAAACGCACAAACCCACATGTAAGGAATGACAAACAATGAAGAGTAACCAAAGACCATGTCTGATTATGCTCGTCCATCATTAATTGGGACAGAATCCAGGGCCGTTCTTGACCTTTTTGGGACCCTAGGCGAAATAGGAAATTAGGGCCCTTTAAAAAAATTATAAAATGTAATAAACAAAATAAAAGCATATATTAATAATTTTATTAAAATAATACATTTTTTTAAGTGGCTATAATTTTTTCTAATAAAATTATAAAAGAAATATTTTTTCATTCAAATAACTCTTATATTATAATTAACTACAAAAACACAAAAAATATAAAAAATGAGTTCTTTGAGCATTCTGAGATGCAAAATCATTAATGATAACATTAACATTAATGTTTTCTAAAAATTCTTTATCAATTGATAAAATTGTGAGACCATTTAACGGTTCTTGTAACATTGATGACCTTAGGTAGGTTTTCTAAAAAATTTCTTTCAATTGATGATATAGTCATCGAGACTGTAAAAAAAATTCTATAAGTAATTAAAACATTTAGATAACAATCTGTAGATTTTACAAACTTAATAACTGTTTTATTTTTTGGAGAAAACTAAAATTCTCCATGAGCTTTAATGTTAAGAATAGTAAAATTTTGGAATTAAATGAAGTTTTGAGTTTACAAAAGTCAATGAGTCGATTACGTTTATAGCAACTGAGGTGCAAGGAATTGAAAGGTCTTTTTTATTTTTTTATTTTTTTCAACTGCAAACTGTAAGAGCTGAAAGTTTTTTAAAGTGAAAGTAGGACACGATTTTTTTTTGGGCCCTCTTTTAAGCTTGTGCCCTAGGCAATCACACCTCTAAACTACCCTCAGAACCGGGCCTGATAGAATCTAGCATTGTCCGTCCGGATGTGCAGGGGAATTTTGAAACAAAGCCCAATGTTATTCAGATGGTTCAGCAATTTGTTCAATTTGATGGGTTGCAAGATGAAGACCCCAACGCTCACAACACTAATTTCCTGGAGATCTGTGATACATTCAAGATAAATGGAGCTACTGATGATGCAATCTGCTTGAGGCTATTTCCATTCTCTCGCAGGAGCAGAGCAAAATAGTGGTTGAACTCTCTCCCACGTGGATCTATCACTTCATGGGAAGCCATGGCAGAAAAATTCTTAGCAAAGTATTTCCCCCTGCAAAGACTGCTAAGATGAGGAATGATATCTCCTCCTTTTACCAATTGGAGTAAGAGACCTTATATTATACATGGGAGAGGTTTAAGGAATCATTAAGGAAGTGCCCACATCATGGGATTCCTGATTGGCTTCAAGTGCAAACCTTCTACAATGGATTGAATCCAGCCACAAGACAAATGATAGATGCTGCAGTTAGGGGCACGTTGAATAGCAAGACACCAAGGGCTGCACAAGAACTGTTTGAAGAAATGGCAATGAACAGCTATCAATGGAGCTCCACTTGATCCAAACCTGCAAAATCTACTTGAATTTATAGTCTTGATGCAGTAACATCCTTGGCAATGCAAGTTGAAGACTTAGGGAAGAAGATTGATGGTTTATCTGTTAACCATCCAGTTGTTTTGGTGATGAGATGTGATATTTACGGAGGAGGCCACCCTAATCATGAATGCCAAGCTACTCAAGAAGAGCATGCCAATGTAATAGGAAATAGACCACCTTACCAAAATTATAATGGCATGAATCATTCGGGGCTGGAGGAATCATGCTAATCCACCATGGAACAACAACCAACAGCCAATGTGGAACAACACACTCCCAGGATTTTAACAAACTTCACATCCACCACCGCCCCCAGCTGAAAAGAAGTCAAACCTTGAGGAGTTGATGACTAAATTCATTCAAACTTCAGAATCTCGGTTCCAATCCACCGAGACAGCACTAAGAAATCAACAAGCCTCTATCCATAATCTAGAGAATCAGTTGGGTCAAATCTTTAGACTCCTCTCAGAAAGACCCCAAGGGAGCTTGCCTAGTAATACTGAGACTAATCCTAAGGAACAGGTCAAGGCAGTAACATTAAGGAGTGACAAAACATTACAAGAGAAGGGGAAGCAAGAAGTAGAAAAAGCTGCAGTTGAAGAGGCGGATACAGGTCAAGAGGAGACTGTGGAAAAGCCCCCTGTAGTGAAAGAATTCATACCTCTACTCCCCTATCCAGCAAGATTGAAGAAGGACAAGGATGATGAACAATTTGGTAAATTTCTGTCCTTATTTCATCAACTTCATATCAATTTACCGTTTGTTTATACTTTGACACAGATGCCCAAATATGCAAAGTTTCTGAAGGATCTACTGTCCAACAAGAAGAAGCTGGAGGAGTTGGCCACGGTAACTCTAAATGAAGAATGCTCAGCAATCCTACAAAACAAGATGCCCAAAAAATTGAAGGATCCAGGGAGTTTTATTCTTCCTTGTCTCATTGGTAGATTGATAGTTGATAAGGCTTTGGCTGATTTAGGTGCTAGCATTAATTTGATGCCATATTCTATTTTTAAGAAATTAGGTTTGGGAGAACCTAGGCCAACTAGGATGAGTATTCAATTAGCTGATAGGTCAATTAAATATCCTAGGGGTATCATTGAAGACATGCTTGTAAAAGTAGACAAATTTATTTTTCCTGTTGATTTTGTGATTCTTGATATGGATGAAGACACTGAAGTCTCCTTGATCTTAGGTCGTTCCTTTTTAGCTACTGTGAAAGCCATAATTGATGTAGTGATATAAAGTTAATTTTGAGAGCGGGGGATGAAAAAGTCACTTTCAAAATTCCTGAAGTAATGAAAAAGTCCTTAAAACAAGATGACTTTTGTTTCTTCCTTAATGTAACTAATGACTTTGTTTCTGACTGTGCACGGGAATTCTTGATGTCAGACCCATTGGAAAGGAGTTTAGTTTAGGAAGAAGGAAAAGATGACATGAGCATGCTAACTCGAGAACAGTGATGTCATTTAGAATCCATTGGGCCCTTATTGAGAAAGAGGAACTTTGAAGTTCTAGAGTGGAATTTAGAGAAGCAACCCAACCCATCCACTGATGAACCACTAGATGTAAAATTGAAAATCCTACCCGAACATATGAAGTATGCCTTTTTGGAAGATGGTTGTAAGTTACCGATTATCATTGCTTCAGATTTAACACAAGAACAAAAAGCTCAGCTGCTGAATGTACTTCGGGAACACAAGAAAGCAATAGCATGGAAGATCTCTGACATAAGAGGGATTAGCCCTTCTTTTTGCACTCACAAGATTTTGATAGAGTCTGATTTTAAGGCTGTCGTGCAACCACAAAGAAGGCTAAACTCAAACATGAAGGAAGTGGTGAAAGCGGAAGTGCTTATGTTACTCGATGTCAGAATGATATATCCCATCTTGGATAGTCCTTGGGTGAGCCCGGTGCAAGTTGTTCCAAAGAAAGGGGGAATGACTGTAGTGCCCAATGAGAAGAATGAGTTGGTGCCTACTAGGACTGTTACTGGATGGAGGGTTTGTATTGACTACTAGAAACTGAATGATGCAACAAAGAAAGACCACTTCTCTCTCCCATTCATTGACCAAATGCTGGAACATCTTTCGGGCCATATGTTTTACTATTTCTTGGATGGGCTCTCAGGATACTTCCAAATTCCAATAGCACCACTGGATGCAACAAAGAAAGACCACTTCTCTCTCCCATTCATTTACCATTTGCTTAACGCCGGATGCTGTTCGGATTATGCAATGCATCGGCAACTTTTCAGCGGTGTATGATGGCCATTTTTTATGAGATGGTAGAAGATATAATGGAGATATTCATAGATGACTTCTCAGTCTTCGGTGACTCATTCTCTCACTGCCTAAAGAATTTGTCAAGAGTTCTTCAAAGATGTGAAGAAACTAATTTAGTGCTTAATTGGGAGAAGTGCTATTTTATGGTGCAAGAGGGCATCGTACTTGGTCATAAGATTTCCTACAAGGGAATTCAGGTGGATAAGGCAAAAATTGACACAATCAAAAAGTTACCGCTCGTTACTTCTGTCAAGGCAGTTTAGAACTTCTTAGGCCATGTGGAATTCTACAGGAGATTTATCAAGGATTTCTCCAAGATCACCAAACCTTTGACCATAGTTTTGGAAAAGGAAAATTCCTTTGCTTTTTATGAGAAGTGTTCGATTGCTTTTGAGTTACTAAAAGGAAAACTGACCCAAGCTCCTATCTTGTGTGGTCCGGATTGGAACTATCCATTTGAGTTGATGTGCAATGTAAGCGACTATGCTGTGGGAGCTATACTTGACAAGAGAAAAGACAAGCATTTTCAGCCCATTTATTATGCTAGCAAGACCCTAACAAGTGCTCAAGAGAATTACACTACAATAGAGAAAGAACTATTGGCTGTGGTATTTGCATTTGATAAATTTTGCCAATATTTAGTTATGTCTAAAGTGATAGTGTATACGGATCATTCTGCATTATGTTATTTGCTAACCAAAAGTGACGCAAAGCCTAGCTAATGAGATGGGTCTTGTTACTGCAGGAATTCGACTTGGAAATTTGTTACTGCAGGAATTCGACTTGGAAATTAAGGATAAAAAAGGTTCAGAAAATTTGGCTGCTGATCACTTGTCAAGGTTGGAGAATCCCAGTATGGAGGAATTAGATGAAAAGAGCATTAATGACAAATTTCCAAAAGAATACTTGTACAATGTGGTAACTGCTTCTGATTTTTATTTACCATGGTTTGCGGATTTTGCTAACTATTTGGTTGCTAAGGTTTTACCACAAGAGTTTTCAAGCCAACAAAAGAAGAAATTCTTTTCCGATTTGAAATACTACTTTTGGGAGGACCCATATTTGTTTCGAATTTGTGCAGAGCAGGTTATTATGAGGTGTGTGTCACACTCTGAAGGGTGGAAAATTCTAGGACATTGTCATACTGACCCTGCTGGAGGACATCATTCTAGGAGTAGGATGGCTAAAAAGGTGCTAGAATTTGGATTTTACTGGCCTTCTATCTTTAAAGATGCTCACAGGTATGTTGAGTTGTGTGACAATTACCAGAGGTCAGGTAATATCTCTCAAAAAAATGAAATGCCCAAGAATTACATCCTAACTTGTGAAATTTTTTATGTTTGGGGGATAGATTTTATGGGACCCTTTCCTAGTTCAAAAGGGAATAAATACATTTTAGTGGCTATTGATTATTTGTCCAAATGGGTAGAGGCACAAGCTTTACCTAACAATGATGCAAGAGTAGTCACTAGGTTCCTTAAAAAGTTGTTTTCATGATTTAGCACACCGAGAGCTTTAATTAGTGACAGGGGTACACATTTTTGCAATACACAACTGATAAGTTTGTAACTTGGCTATATTTTACAGCCATATATTTATATCTAACCCTTACTTGATTGAGATTTTAGACAAATTTATATATTATTTGTGCAGTTTGGTAGAAAAGAGGCGGAAGTGAGTTTTTGTGCATTTTGGGCCCAAATGGATGTGGTTAAAAGCTTCACAGAAATAAGCACGCCTAGCACAACACGGGGGTGCTTCGACGTAATGCATAGCCATGCTGATTATGTGCACGACCATGCTTATTTGCGGAACTTCAATCTTAGCAATTTTAAAAGGAGTTCAAATTCTATAAATAGGGGGGAGAGGATCGTCAGAGCATCTTTTTGGACACCAGCTTACACACAACCTTAGTCTTTCAAGTTTCAATCATTTTTTGCCTCTCTTGCACGGATTCTCAGCAAACTCTTGGCAGAAACTTGCTTCAAGTGACCATACTTAAAGACTGAAGATTCATCTCATTTCTAGTTTGCTATATCTCTTCATTATGGATATGTTATTGATTGTTTTAGCTCTTTCTTTCTACATGAGTAACTAAATCTATAGCTAGGGCTATGGGGATTATTGTTTATGATTTTATGAGATTTTGATGTTTGAATCTTAATTCGAATTTTGTTCTGTGATTAGAATTTATCCTATCGCTTCTCACTCTTAACCCTAATTAGTTATATCGTTAGGCGATTGTACCTCGATTAATTAATAGATCTATAGGATAAAACAAGATGAAAGATTAGGTAGACCAAACCAATCTTCCTCTTCTAATCGTTATTGAATTAACAAATTCATAGGTTCCTTAGGCTTTCTTTAAATTGATAACTTGCATGACCATTGGGGATATTAACTTAGAGAAAAGAATATTAATATTGCATGACCAGTGAATATTAATAGTATTCATATGAATGATTAGTAATCACAAGGAGTTTGGGTTTAGATCTAAAACAACAAAATAACATAAAGGATTGAATGAGAACACTCATACGCCCTAGGTTTTTGTCTGATAAGTGTAATCAAGACGTGCTTTGTGTACCTTGCTCTTAGTTTTATAATTGATTTTATAAATTCTTGTTTTTAATTAATCTCGTATCTTTGAAGCTTAAACAATTAAATTAGGAAATTCTTAGTAATTGGAAATTAATCCTTGTGAGACGATATTTCGGGAACTTAATTTAAGAACCCTGTATTACTTCTCGATAGGTACAATTGCCCTCTAAACAAGTTTTTGGCACCGTTGCCGTTGCCGATGAGCACCCATAAAATTTATTCACAATGGGTAGAGTATTTATCCGCTACATAGGTACAGGTATGAGTATGGGTATCTAAGTACCCACCCCGCCCCCATACTTGTTAGGAACAACAAAAGAATAAAGAGAAAAAGAGAGAGAGAGAGAGAGAGAGAGAGAGAGAACACAAGAATTTAAAGAATTTAATGTGGTTCGGCGCATAGTATATGTACCTACGTCCACGACTACACTAGGAAAATATTTTATTCACTGGATGATTCTTAAAAGTTTTACAGGGCATTACTTATATAATAATAGTAAAACAAAAGTTGCTCAAGAGTAGACAATGTGGGACTAAATAAGACTACACAATATCAACAATTCTCCCACTTGGAGTCTAATTAGGTCCTTGTAAATAATGAGCTCACGTGCCCTTAACCTAGTGTAGCGCCTTCATCATCAGTTATTCTCGAAGGCCAGTTGAGGCAATGCAAAGCCTCAACTTATTAGTTGTGACAGTCTTGGTCAACATATCAACTAATTTTTTTGATCTTGAGATCTTCAACAAAGACAAGTCTCCAGCACTTATTAGGTCTCTAATAAAATGGTACTTCATATTAATATGCTTGCATCTATAATGAAAAATTGGATTTTTAGCATGACATATAGCACTTTGACTCTCACTGAATAATGAAGATTCTTCCTGTTCTTTTTCCAATTCTTTGAGAAAATTCTTTAGTCATAGCATTTTCTTTGCTGCTTCTGTTTTACTATTACTATATAAGTAATGCTCTATAAAACTTTAAGAATCATCCAGTGAATAAAATATTTCCCTAGTATAGTCATGGACGTAGGTACATATATTGTGTGCTAAACCATGTTAAATTCTTGTGTTTTATCTCTCTCGTTTCTCTTTCTTCTTTAGTTGCTCCTAACGACTGGTATCAAGAGCCAATATCTTAGTATGCTTCGTGGTTGCAGCATTGTCTGATCTTCCACATAAAAAAAGATTTAGTTTTTTCCACGGGGCCTTAAAGAAAGTAGTGGGGCTTTCCTTAGCTTAGAGGAAGCAATAGGAGCAACGACATTAGAATAAGGAAAAGTGAAGATTAAAAAATTTGACAACAGAGACTTCGGATTTTGGAAGACACAGATAAAAGACTATTTGTATCAGAAGAAGTTCTATCAACCGTTAAAAGAGAGATTAGAAAACACAAGAATTTAACGTGGTTTGGCACACAGTATATGTACCTATGTCCACAGCTACACTAGGAAAATATTTTATTCACTAGATGATTCTTAAAGTTTTACAAGGTATTACTTATATAGTAATAGTAAAATAGAAGTCGTTCAAGAGTAGACAATGTGGGACTAAATAAGACTACATAATCTCAATAATACCCGCATATATATATATATATATATATATATTATTTTAATTAAATTTGTTATTTTTCTTACAATTTCATATTCAAATGTTAAAAAAAATAATTTATGTATCTACTTTTTGTTGTCGTTTCTGCCTCATTAGAACCTAACAACTATGAAATGTTATTTATTAGAGTTATTTGTTAATACCGCCACAAGTGATCCAACATGAAGGGTCATCCATTGTACAGATCTATTTCGTTGTCTCTTTGATATTGCCAATTGATCGAATCTCACATAATCGCCAAAAAATAACTTGTGTGTTTAGTTTCACTTATTATTTCTATGAATTTTAGTTTAGAAAATTATTGTATTAAGATACATTTAGCACTTGTGATCTTTGAATATTTATTTATTTTATCTATGTTTGTACCTTGTTTGGCAACTAATTATTGAATTTTTTTATTATTATATTACTTATGTGAAGTTATATAAACATATTTTTTTATAAATATTTTTTTCTTCAAACAAGCACGTTTAGTGGGTACAAGATGGGTGTGGGTATGTAAGGGTAAGGAGATTAATGCTCATACCCACGCAGGTATGAGACTGGGTATGGGTATATGTAATAATGATAGTCCAAAATTTTGTATTCCTTCCACTCAACTAATCTTTCACTTATTGTTGTAGTGTTCTAAACTAAGAAGAGATAAGAAAAACAACAAAAGCTTTGTCTCGGGAAAAAAATATCTTGCAGTTTGGTTCTACAAGAAGGTGTAGCTTCGAGTCTAAACAAGAATGGAGGATGAAGATTAAATTCACAGTATAATTTCTCTCTTTTTATCTTTGATTTTTCTTTAGTATTCTTCTTCTCCAAAACACTTATTCTTGATTTTTTTTCTCTTTTTTCACATCTTTTACTCTAAATCGTTGCTCTTTTTTTTGAAAACTCCTTGCTCCTTCTCTCAATGTCACCTTCTCTCTGTATCTCTCTTTTATCTATTTATATTAGCCCTCTTTTGCTTTTAAGGTTTAACAAAATGTCAAATCTTTGAGTTTTTTTTCCCTCTTCTCCAGTATAAAAATTGTTTCTTAGTATTGAGTATCAACTTGCATTGTGCAGGACTTTCGTTTCTAGGAGCAAAGCTTATTTTTCAAAAAAATTCATTTTTTTGGTTAAACAACCTTATTATTTTTATTTCTAATTTTTTTATATTTGAAGGCAATCTCCTGGGTGACAAAAATTGGTCCTCATACTGAATTTATGGCTACCTTTACTTCTCTCCTTCCCTTTTTAAGCCTGCACGCTGGTGGCATTTGATTTCCTTGAGCTGTGAATTAATTGTTGTTGTTTTGAGTATTTTGGACGACGTTAAATAGAAGAAAAAAGAAAAAAAAAATATAAGTAAGATAATTCCATGTTATATGTAAAATTCTAATTTTGATTAAAAAAATATCTTAGAAATTGCACTTATGTGAGAAAGTGATAATTTACGTATTGTTAAATTGATTAAAATATTTTATAAATATAATTAACTTCAAATTAATAATAGATAATTTTTACTTTAAGGAATTAAATCCATTTTTCTCTAACTTAAACACATTATTTATTACAAAAAATTAAAGTAAAAAAATATTACTAATATATTTTTAATATATTTTTTTATTGGTTAAAATTTAGTAAAAATTATAAAATTATAATTAGACTTTTCAAACTAAAATTAAACTACTTAATGTTATGTTTCTCAGTCAATTTCAATAAATAATAGATGTTGTATTAAAAATTGTATATGAAAGAATATATTACTAACAATCTTCAAATAAAAAAAAATATAATAACGGATGATTTTTATAAGAAAAATGTTAACACTTTTAGCATTTTTAATTTTTAGTTAAATTAAGAATAATACTCATATAATTTTTATAATTTTTAATAAATTTTAATTAATAATTAAAGATATGTTAATAAAAGTATCTTAATGTGCAGATAGCATTTCTCTTTTCATGTTTACATCCAGTGTATTATTAACAACGAGAAGTATTTGGCCAAATAATCATATCATTACCAAAATTAACAAGATAAGTAATTAAAGCATTTGTAGAATGATCAAGTATGGTCTCTTAATACCAAAATATATGAAGAAATTATATATAAACAAGAATAATAACAATAAATTTAAAATGATTTAATTTTTAAAATAATAAATAAACTAAACTATACATTTAATGCCAACGATAGTTAGAGATAATTTACGTATCATAATAACAAAATTAAATGGGACAGAGTTAGGATAAGTTGCAGGACAACATTGGACAAGTCTAACTAACTTTCACCCTTAAATGCGTACCCTCAAGTGAAATCTTAGATTCTCCAAATAAAAATAAAAATTTCCCGTATAATATTCAAGTAAATTTTATGATGAGAGCTGCATCTAAATATGGAAGTTTTACTAATAAGAACTACAAGGTTCTAAAATTGCTGGTAATGTATATAACTGGTCCTTATGAAATTACATGAATTAATCTAATCCTTTTATTGATTTTTTGTTCGATTAATTATCTATATAATGGCTTATATAATTTATATTATAGCTCTAATTAATGATTTAACGTGATGGTAGTTAAATATAAAATATAGATTCATTAGAATATAATTGAAAATATATTATGATAAAACCTTTCCCTCCTTCATGTAAAAATAAAAAAGTGGTTCTCAAATAGAGAGTATAATATTCTCTAGTATACGAACTAAGATGATTTTATAGTGAAAGAATTTTTTCTCAATGATAGGAGAGAAGAGCTAAAAGAAAAGGGAAGAGTTAGATAAATATCAATGGCTCAATATCATCAAAAGAAGATAAACAATAAATTTAGTTTAGTGTTCTCTAAACCTTTAATTGTATGAAAACTATATATTTTTATGAGAATTACAAAATTCAATATTACTAAGAATAATAATTTTATAATAGTTATGTCAAAATAAAAATTACATGATGGATGAAAAATTAACATTTACATACACAATATTTAGGAGTGCTCTTTTATTAAAATTATTTTAATTTTATTTACAAAAGAATTGTTCTTAAATCATTGTAAAAATATAATGGGAAGTTATTTTTTTTATATAAAAAAAAAAACATTTACTAAACTAAACGTGCAAACTCACAGCATGTGTTTTGTCAACTTTGTTATAATATGGAGTACTATTTTTCATCTAAACTCACAGCATGTAAAATACGGTAAGATAAATACGTGAATACCTTTGTTATTGGAGATTCAAGTTGAAATTTATCACTCTGTGGTGAATAATCTCTTTTGCATACCGAAATTATATTACGCGTGGATGTTAACTACGATTTAACTACGCTATAAATGTGTGTGCACTCTAATACCAAGAAAAAAAACAAGGCTATAAAGAAGGCGTGTTGATACTGCACTGTGGAGGGGCAGAGTGATTACTGCATGTAATAAGATTTTTTGTAACAGGTGGTTTAAGAATATGATTAAAGAGTTAATAAATAATAAATTTTTTTAGCAGAAATTACATTAAAATGTATTGAAAATTATGAAAGAATTTTTATTTTTGACTTCTTAATCAGTCCCCTAAATTCACTTGTTAGTATTTTCCAATAAATAATGGTTACTCTCATTCTTGATAGATTCAATTTACTGGGCTGTCATGTAAAAGATGATGAGTTCAGTTATTCTGTTTTACAAAGTCACAGTCAACCATATTGATAGAGATGAATTCTACTTACTGTTCCACTCCCAAAAATAATAACCAAAAAATAGCTCAAGTGGTGAAGTTCATTTATTGGAAGAGATCTCATTTGAGCAACAAAGCCGGTGCCAATAGCCATTGATCTCTAAATTAACATACTCCCACCAACTAACTATAATGGTTACTAAATTAACCTACAACGTCATACTATTAACTAGAAAAAGTACTTGTTGATGAGTCACTTAAAGTACCACAATCCTAAGCAAGCCAAACCATTATATATAACAAATCTTGAGACTACAGCAACTCAAGCCTTCATCTAGATATTTCTCAACTCAACTTTTATTGCCATACCTTGGTGATTGGTGTGGCAAGGTGTTTTCACCATGAGGAAGAGTTCTACTTTTCAAAAGGGTCTTGTGTTGAGCTACAAGGTGCCCTTGTTGCTTCTTCTATGCTTTTGTTTTGCCAATTCTGCTGCTGTAACTGCTAATGAAGACTCTACAGGTTGGTGGTCTCATCCTTCATGCACGTGGAAAGTTTTCTTTTTTCGTTATGCAAAATAAGTACCCCAGCTAGGTAGTAATAGCAACATTACATGATTTACATCAGCCTGAGCCACAACACTACATTGAGACCCTGCAACTTAATACAATTGTTACATACATGTATAAATTATAATCTATATTTTTATTTTGCAGGAATAGGGATGAACACTGAAGGCAATCCATTGGATAGAAAGTTAACAAGGGTAGAAGATCACAGTGGTGAAGCAAAATTTAAAGCATTTTTTCCACCAAAATTTCCAGTTGATAAGAGTCCTATACCAAATTCATTTCCAATAGAGAATAAGCCCTTGCCAGTTCCAGTGCTTAACCCTGTCCCAAAGGTGGTTCCAATTTTCAAACCAATACCTAAGCCGTTTCCTGTGCCTTTACCTATTCCAGTTTTCAAGAAACCTATTCCAAATTGGATTCCAATTGTTAAGCCTATACCAAAGCCAATTCCTATCCCAGTGTTTAAGAAGCCAGTTCCAATTGTTAAGCCAATGCCAAAGCCAGTTCCAATTGTTAAACCAATGCCAAAGCCAGCTCCAATAGTGGAAAAGCCAAAGCCAACTCCAGTTGTTAAGCCGATTCCAAAGCCATCTCCAATAATGAAAAAGCCAATACCTGTTCCAGTGTTCAAGACTATCCCAAAGCCATCTCCAATAGTGAAAAAGCCTCTACCTATTCCAGTAATTAAGCCTGTACCAAAGCCAGTTCCAATTATTAAGCCAATTCCTATCCCAGTGTTCAAACCTGTCCCAAAGCTAGTTCCAATTATTAAGCCAATTCCCACCCCAGTCTTCAAACCTTTCCCAATGCCATTTCCAATAGTGAAAAAGCCTCTACCTATTCCAGTAATTAACCCTTTACCAAAGCCAGTTCCTATCCCAGTGTTTAAGCCTATCCCAGAACCATTTCCAATAGTGACAAAGCCTCTACCCATTCCAGTAATTAAACCTATACCTCAGCCTTTTCCAATTATTAAGCCAACTCCTATTCCGGTATTCAAACCTATCCCAAAGCAAGTTCCAATAGTGAAAAAGCCTCTACCTATTCCAGTAATTAAACCTGTGCCCAAGCCTGTTCCAACTGTTAAGCCAATTCCTACTCCAGTGTCCAAGCCTGTTCCAAAACCATTTCCAATAGTTAAAAAGCCTTTACCTACTCCAGTAATTAAACCAATGCCTAAGCCTGTTCCAATTGTCAAGCCAGTTCCTATCCCAGTGTTCAAGCCTATCCCAAAACCATTTCCAATAGTGAAAAAGCCTTCACCTATACCAATAATTAAACCGGTACCTAAACCTGTTCCAATTGTGAAGCCAATTCCTATCCCAGTGTTCAAGCCTGTTCCAGAACCATTTCCAATAGTGAAAAAGCCGGTACCTATTCCTGTAGTTCAACCAGTACCTAAGCCTGTTCCAATTGTTAAACCAGTTCCTATCCCTGTATTCAAGCCTATTCCAAAGCCATTCCCCGTGGTGAAAAATCCTCTACCTATTCCAGCAACTAAGCCTATACCACCTTCGCCAATTCACAAGCCAATTCCAGCTCCATGAGAATTTTCACTCCCTACACTTCCTCATGCTTTTGAAGTTATATAGTCCAATTTGAAAGCCCTTTACATGGCAACACTTGTATCTCAAGATTAGAGGTATTCAAGTTTGCATATATTATTGTATCAATCTTGAATTTTGTATTGGAATGTAGCTAAATTTTTTGCCTTAATAAAACTCATAAAATAGACTTTTTATAAGTTGAACACCTACTAATCAAAAATGGAGTCGAATCTGTGGTTTGGTATACTTCATGATTGTAATTAGATTCTAGTTTTGTGTGACTACATTTTGAGCAAGGGTACTGATAACCCAAAAAAATCATACAAAAAGTCAACACTCCATTTGGTTGACACAACAAAAACATTATTGTGGTTGTAATCAGGTTACATGTTTGTTGCGGTCTAATGCGTACAAATGCAGCCATTGCACACCACAATTGTGGCATGATGCAGTTGTCACAACTAAGATTTTGAGACCACATCAGCACAATTTGAAACACTGGTAATAGTATAAGTATTTAAATTAAACTTTTATAACAACTCAAACTGGTTCTTCTCTGTGTATAAACTATGAATCATGCAATGACACAAAGGATGAAACCTAAAACTTAGGTAATTCCTCATAAAACAATGGAACAATCATGTACCACCTGTTGCTTCTATAGAGCACCCAAGATGCGATGGGATAAGCGAGTGAGTTAAACACTACATTAGAAGAACTAACAAGTATTTACTGCACGCAAGGATGTTTAATCAAATGTGAAATATGAAGATATATTAAACAAGTTTCAAAGTCCACAACACGCGCCTCAAAGTTCCAAGATTAAGTTATTGAACTTCCCTTCTAGTCTTCCGGTGCAAAAGCTGATCGATCCAATTAACCTTAAGTTTCAAAATCACTATATGAAGCACTTTTAGGTGCAGCCAAATGAATGTAACAGAGAACAAAATATAACTGGGAGTGATTTTCATAGCTCTTGATTAATTGAACTTTTGGTGACCTTTACAGCAACTAGGAAATGGATCCTTTGCAGTGACATTATTATTGGAAGGATGTTCACCATTGAAACAACTAAATTGTTCATTTAAAATTAATAAGGTTAAAAATTTAATCTCTCTACTCTGACACTTTTATTTCAATTTGGTCCTATTTTAAAAATGGTTATAATTTAGTCTCTGTATGACTAAAATTTTTTTTATTAATTCTTACCGTTAAAAACATGTTACTACGGAAGATGAAAATGACCAAAACGTAAAAAAATATTCGTATAAAATCTAAAACGTAAATATTATTTACAAGGACTAATTTATAAATAAACGTCAACTATAAAAACTAAAGGTGTATTGTAATAAATAAACGAGTTATTAAATAAAAATTCACAAAATTATAAAAGATTAAAAATTTATATTTTCAAGCAAACTTATATCTAGTGTGATTTTACATAAAAAAATAAGTAAATATTTTTTTTTATAATTTTAAAAAAAATATTTTATAGAAATTAGTATACAATAAAAATAAAAATTTTAATGTTGATATTTTATTTATTCATTTGAAGGTAAAATATAAGATAAAAATATAAAATAATTTTTTTTTTATTTCTAACTCTTAAAGAATAAGTTTAGCAACTAATTATAATAAAATATTTTATTTTCACATTTATAAATTTAATATAATGTTTGCATTCTTTTTCGGTAAAAAATCTTACTTTTATATGCTTAAACTTATAAAATATTTGAAAAATAATTTTTCCTTAAAATTTTTTTTACTATTTTAAGATATGAACTCACACCAAATATAAGTTTGCTTAAAGATATAACTTTTAATTCTTAAAAGTTAGTGATTTTTTTTTATTTGATATCTCATTTTTTTAACAAGTTTATAAATTTTTTACTTTTAGTTTGAATACATATTTAGTCATTATAGTTCATATTTATTTACAAATTAATTTTAATAGTTAATATTTATATTTTAATTTTTATATGAGTATTTCTTTCACATTTCGATTATTTTCACATAATGACCTTAACATATTTTTAATGATAAGGATTAATCTAAAAATATTAACTCATATAAAAACTAAATTATAACTTTTTTTAATGTAAGGATTAAATTCAAAATACATGTAAAAAACAAGGACTAAATCTATAAATTAACTAAATAATAAATATAAATATTTTAATTCATCTTCCAGAACGTGCTTGTCATAGTAAGATGATGAAAGTTTTAAAAAAGAAATATTAGTTTTTATGAATAAAATGTTTTCTAAAATTAAAGAAGTTGTCACCAAAGTTTAATTTTAAGAAAATCTTAGAAAAATTTTAAAGCAATTTTTAAAACTAAAAATAAGTTTGAAAGTTGTTTATGTGTAAAGAAAGTATTAGTACCTTACAACATTCATTTAAAAACAGTTATCTCAAATTAATTATGTAAATTTATTATAATTTTAAAAATATTTATTTAACTCCAAAATAAAAATTTTGCTATATATATATATATATATATATATATTAGCCTTTTTATTTATATATTAGAAATATTAATTGATATTAAAGGAAGAAAAAATTATTTTGAAAATTGTTTTGACTTGACAGTTTCGGTTTCCACTCCTATGTATCTTCAGGTGTAATGAAGAATTCAAAGTCACGTAGTTCTATCTAAACATATTGTGAAATTTGTAACACCCTTACTTTATGATTCAATTTGTGTCATAATTTATACTGAAAGAAGGAAAGTAAAAATGAATTTCTTGATACTTATAACTTGAAATTTTACAAAAATTTCAAACTTTCTCTTTTATTATTTAACTCATGAAGGTATTTGAAATGACGTATGATAAACCTTTACCGATACATAGTAACTTGTTAAATAGATTTGTACTTGATCAGATGATAAGTTTGTATTTTAACATGCCTTTATAGTCTAAATATTTATGTGTGACTATTATTTTAATTGAGATTTACACTGATTTATATATTAATTGTGCAATTTAGCATAAGAAAGTCACAATTGGGCTTTCGATGCATTTTGGACCCAAATTAGTTGAAAAATAGGGCTATGCAATAGTTAGCACACCAATGACCTAGCAACTAGCATGACTATGCTTCAACCATATATTTGGTTGTGTATTGCCCCAGCATGGTTATGCTTGCCTACAACATCCTTAAATTCTTATTTCATATAGATAATTATTTATAATGAAGAAAGGAAATGAAGTGAATTTCTTTTGTATTTATAGCTTTAAGAATTGAAGAAAATATAGAACTTACATTTCTTTTATTTAGTTTATGAAAACTAAAAGATATTCAAACTACTACAAGAAATAATTTTGAAAATTTAAATTTATAAATATAGTAAAAACTAAAAATTTACATCCTGACAATTTATTTAATTTGTAGTACATGCTTATGAGTAAAAAAAATAAATGAACAACACTACCTTTTGGTAAAGTAAATTTCTCTCTAAAAATGAATGGAAACTACAAATTAAAAGTAGCTAACTTATTAAAATTACATTTACACTTCAAATTATTATTTACAACAAAACTTATTAAAATATTATAAATTCAGAATAATTAACATGAAAATGCTTTACATATTCTTGTCAACTTTGAATGGAAACTAAATTAGAATTATTACAATTTTCAAAATTAACCAAAGTCCTAATAGAGCAGTCTTTCCTACAACTCCATCAAGGATATGATACTAAATATTATTTAATATTTACTTATTTTATAAGTGAATCAAGTACAACATTGAACATTATTTAATATTGAATGCATATTGAAATGGTACTCACTCATGTATTATATTAATTAACCTACAGAAAGTCAAACATTATAACAATCAAATCAATACACGATATTTCACACACAACCAAATTTAATCATTCCATCCTTGACTCATACCACATTACTCATTTCATAGATCAGCATGTCATAATAAATGTGTAATAACCATATTAACCAATGGATTACGATACATGCATTATAATTACACCCGTTGATGTATTACAATACTTGTATTATAATCGCACTAATTAATTCGTTATGACTCACTTATTATAATCACACATCTCATAATTCATACTCATTGCCTCCAGGATCCTTTAAGGTCTTTCATAAGTATAGATAGTTGCCGGTTAACCCTTACACAAAAATACAATGTATACAATAAAAAGACTCCTTAGCAAAAGTATAGTCAAGAGTGTTAGTCAAGAAACGAGTGTGTGGCCACATGATGCATTCGCATTTTTATAAATTGTGCAACTCAAGCAAATGTCATCCATCACTCTATGTTTCCCTCATATTTCCCATAAATTGTCTCCATATTCTATACTCTCAATGTATCTCTATAACTATCCATACACATTTTAGTCAGTTTTTCATGACATATTTTTTCAGTACTTCTCAAATATTCACATCCATTTCTTTTCATCATTTTTCTCATGATAGTACAATTTCCACTATTTTTCTTTCTCGTCATAATAAAAATTCACCATACTATGTCATTCATATACAGTTAAATCATCAATCAATCATTTACATTAATTCTCTTTCATAATTATTTCCTTTCACATGCAATAAAGTTCACATTAATTCCTTTCATTACTTTTCACTAATAATAGATTTCATCATTCTAAAAACAGTCAAACACTCTTCATCAATCAATTTCACATCATACAAATTAATACGATATGCCGAAGGTCAGACACCTTTGGACTCAACCCAATCATACAATTTATAAATACATTGCCGGAGATTACACTCTCTCGGTCTTTATAAAAATCGTCTATCCTAAGGTTTATCCTTTTTTTTCCAACACATATACATATATATAGAATAACATCTTTCTGAAAATCTTATTAAAAATTCATTCTTAAAATATATTATGGGTTCTCCATACTCAAAAATCCATTTTTAAAATGTATTTGTTAAGAAAATATTAGGGATCTACCATTCTAAGCAAGAGAATATGAATTTTAAGCTAAAAACGTATACATAGGAGTTAGGGTTTGGTATCAACTCCCCTTACCAAGAATTGGGTCTGTGAGACTCTGTTCTTCGCGAGATCTAGAGGAAAACACAAAACGTTTCAACGGAGGTATCACCCAAAGACTAAGTTCT